ATTGTTAGGAGATTATTAATTTTAAAATCCACAAAAATTAATTTGGATACCATAAAAAAAAAATTTTTTTTTTTTTTTTGTTACCACCAACCGGTCGTAGGAGCAGGTGTTACACTGCAAAAACATTGCTGATTAAGTCGTGGAATGGAAAGGGCATTAGGAAAAGGACGTATCACCAATATGAAGACTGCTGAGAATTGAGCTACGTGGAGCCAGAACTGATCATCTAAACAATTCTCATTATTGACCCCCCCCCCTTTTCCTTGAAAAAGAAACATCCACACCTGAATCATCCACTATTAACAATCCTCACATGCTCTGTACTCAAAAAATATAGTTCAATCGCATTCCTCCAAAGGGTCCATTTCCATGTTCCAGTTTGATCTCCTCCTTGCAATCATCTCATCAATGCACACCTCCATGAGGATTAGGGCCTCGCTTGCCTATTTCAGAAAATCAGAACCACTAATTCCGAGTCTTATTTTACGTGTTTAGTTTTGAGCCAAAAATTCATTCACTCTTGAATATATATATGAGGCATGGTGATTCCATGATTTCTGTCTCATCTCTAAACCAAGACTTGTTTGGTGACAGTGAAATTGTTGGTTATGGCGGGGGACTGAGGACCCCCTCATTCCCTAAGAAACGGGGCAAAGTAGTGTTGGTGAGTAGGGCTGCCTGGCTGGGAAAAGCTACTGGGGATGGAGAAATGTCAAATGTAAGGGAAAAAACTACTAAATTTCTATTCACACCCCACGTGCAGGGCAGGCTGTCTCATGGTTCCGTCCACTTCCACCACTACCCTTTGCTACTTTGTCTGTTCATGAGCTTTTCAGTTTGTTTTTTTTCTTTTTTTCTTTTTTTTTGTCCATTTCACAACTTAATTAATTTGTAGGATCTCTTTCACTTTTTGACGTTGTCACTTTGATCTCCAGTGATTTATCCTCAGTAGTCGGTACCAATCAAAGCGTATGCAAAGTTTATGGCTGCTTCAATTCATATTTGTGCAAAAAGATGGCAAGGAGATATGCAACAAAGAATATCTCCATTTTTGTTTCAGGTAAGTTAGTGTGCTTAGTTTTTGTAGATGCCATGTGAATGAATCAGCTCTCTTAAATGTATGTGAGCTACCTAAAGGTAAACTATATATATATATATGGTTGATTCACATTTCACTAAATAAAAGGATTATAATTGTAAAATTGTATTACTACAACATAAAATTATGAGTCAAATCAATTTTTATTTGTCTTAAACTCAAACAAACTCGTCTCCTTTTTAATTTTTTTTTAATCTAAACGGGCTGCAATGGTCTTCGATGGAAGCTCGATCCAGACTAGTCTACAATCCCTTGACACTTTCAAATAAGGAAAATGATTAAAGAGTAATTTTTATTATACAGTTTTTTAATATAATTTTATATATTATTTAATGAGTGATTTTTTTTTATTTTACTAAAATTTAAAATATTATATATATTTATTAATTAAATACAAATAATACATTTAAAAATTACAGAGATAAATTATCTACATACAATTAATTACTTTTTAATAAAAGTGTATCATCACAAAAACTAATTAAGATAAGAAAGAAATTAATATATTTATTAAATTTTTATTTATTATAATTATAAATACATAAGAGTTAAATGACTATAATTTATGCTTATTAAGAGCTGTTGTTATATACCTTTCAATAAAAATTCTGACTAGGAAGTCATGTTAGGAATTTAGCCTAATTAGAGTATGTTTGATCATTTCATCAATGATGCTCCTACTCCACAAGTCAACATAACTTCGCCTAAACCACTTGTATACAGATAACAATGGTGCTCAAGATCTTCCCTTACACGTGGCTCATTGAACCTTTCAACTTCACTTCGTGACCTGTGTTAAAAAAGTGTGTCTGAACTAATTCCTTTGAATTTTTTTTTTTTCATCTATTATACCTCTTGATGTTTTTGATAACCCAGATTGTTCTAGGGATATTCAGTTTGAGTTAAATTGAAAATTTCTTCCAAAAATCTCTAATTATGCTATTATGCTATTATGCTATTCTCTTTCCACCCTTGCCTCTGATTCTAAGTTCTCTCCTTAACTTTACTCCTGCCCTATATCATTCGGACCATGAACAAATTATATACTAATATATATATTTATATGTGTGTGTGTGTGAAGGAAGATGAGCAAATTTACAATCTACTGTCACTGTGTCACAGCTTGAACCAGAAGCTATAAGTTAATATTTTTTCTTGATTAAACTTAAAGAAACAACTCTACATTTGCACTTCTGAACTCTTAAAATACATAACAAGAAACATAATAGATAGTCTGTTTTCTTATCTGATCCACGTTTTTTAGCACATACTGACATACTGCCCAACAACAAGAGAAAAAGGTGAACTACTTTCTCTTGGACTGCCAGAGGCTTTTCCTTACCTTAGAACTCCCTGTCATGTCTCCTTTGTCTTCTTTCTTGGGACTATTCTTGTTTCTTCCCTCCAGTTCCTTGTCCGTTGACTTCTTAGTTTCCTTCTTCATGCATGCCTTTCCATCTTCTTCATCATCATCATCATCATCATCCCCATGCTTCAAACGAGCCATCTCATGACTTGGACCAGAAGAAGCATCAGAAGCCATAGAATCATCATCACCATTTGCATCTGAGTCATCATCACCAGCACCATCATCAGCAGCATCAGTACTGCTTCCATCATCATCGTCATCACGTATGGGGGAACCAATATACATTGTCCACCCAGATTCACTACTGTGACATTCTTCTGCTCCTCCAAACATTTTGGAAGACTCCATTCCTACAAGATTCTAGTAATAAGTAGAACAAGAAAGAAGATTAGAGGGGAGAAAATAAAACACAAACTTTGAGTTCATAAACAGGAAAAATGAGGAGGGAAGCTGTTCTGCTTCTTACAGTATAGACGCCTGAGAGAGAACTTTCCTCCCCTTTTCTCTGACCCAAATTACTTTCTTCCTCACAAAGAACAGATATACCTATCACACATTTTGAAAGCAACCGAAACCACACTGTCTTAAATTAAATGGCTATGGGGCTAACTTATCACCACCTGGAAATCTATAATCCAATTAATTAATCTCTGACTTCAAATCAGCAGAGACAGATGACAGCTAGAAGCTGTCAAAGAAAGTGAGATCCCGTCTTAAAACATACCACCAAAGTTTCTTCAATTTGAAAGGACAGGGGTTGTTGGTTATTGGTTTTTTGAAGAGATGAAGAAAAAAAAAAAAATCTCTGTAATTTACTTCTCTCTGAGAATGCCAAGCATGCTTTAAATGCACGAGGCAGAGACTGATGGGGTCAGTCTACAAAATTAACTAGAGAGAATATAGACCCATGTTCTTAATAGGTCAGCAAAGGAGTTTCCTTCTTTACAATCACATTTAGCTTTAACAACTTTATTTTCTCCCATTTTTATCCTGTCAATTAATAATTGAACAGGCTTTTTTTTGCTTGGTAAACATAAAAAATAGACACAGACATGAGACAATCCAGCTGGAGTTTAGGTCTTTTTGGATGAAAAAATGCTATACCATGACAGGAACTTGTCAAAATATCTTTCTGCTTTCTGCATTTCTGTCTTCCTCTAATTTGCTTGTGGTGCCTATCTCACCAAGGAAGCAGGATTTATCTCTTGTTTTTTCTTGGAGACAAAGAATACAATAATACATTGTTTTTATGGGCATAGAACTTGTAACTCTGGTAACTTTCAAAATGATTAAGATATCAACTTGACCAACCTCTAATCTATAGGCGTACAAAACAAACATTGGAATGCATTTTCATGGATTGAAAACAAGCCAATCTAGTTGGGCCAGGGTTTTAGATTGCCCTTTCTTAATTTTCCAGTACTGAAATAATAATTTTTTTTGGTATAGTACTGAAATAATTTTTTTTTGGTACAGTACTGAAATAATATTGATCAGACAGATAACTTCAAGAATTTACTGCTTGAATTTACTCTTGAAATGACATTGTATGCATCTCCCCCACCCACAGTCAAGATGGGACTACTGTTTTTGCAAACTAACATTGTTTGAACAGCTCTATGAACCTACATTGTAAAGATTTTTAATTGTTTCAATACTTGAAAATTTTAAGAATGTTTTCTCGTAAAAATACTTTTAACGTTTAAATTAGTAATATTTAATAATTTTTAAAAAAATTCTTAAGAATAATTATAAAAAAAATATAATAAAATTATTACCTTAAACAGATATAAATGAAGATATTTATAACATGAGTGATAACATAAAATCATACGTGTAATCATTTGATTTGTCCACGTATAGGCATTCACGTGGATATATCTGAACTGGTGGTATATAAACGTATCCTCTTTTTGAGCTCAATGACTGGACTTACTATTACGTGACCAGATTGAATGTTGAGCTTATTGCCAACAAACATGAATTATGAATATTCAGCAGGGGTAATTGGGTCCCTCTGTGTAGAGAAAAAGTGAGAACAAAATGAAAGGAAGAAGAGATGAAATCGAAGATGGTTTTGGCCTTTTGGGCACCATTTGTCCCCCCTGCTTCAAAGCATGATTTGGTCATTTCCCCCACCTTTGAATTTTCCAGCCATGGCTAATTATTTGGCATGAGCAGACATGGCAGGCCCCAGCATTATTCTTGTTGTTCGTCCTCTGGGGAAGTTGTGTCTTGTGTTGCCCTTTTCAATAGGGCTCCACCTCAGATGACGTTGAAGTCTTGGATGTCCCTTGCACAGGACATCGTTTTCAAGATGGAGGGTCTACCGTCCGCCTAGCTTTTTTGCCTTTGTTTATCCTGCATTTAAGATTACAGTCCCCACACAGCTTCAATACCGACATGGGTGAAAAATCATGAAAATATTTTAAAAAATGAACTGAATCATCTATTTTCTTTCTGGGATTTTTATTTCAGAACTTATTCAAAATGAGTTTGACAGTCATATTTATTATCATTGGCAGCCTTTCAGACAGAGGGTGAGTTCTAAAGAAAAAAAATATATATACGGAGGATTCAGTATGACAGGAACAGACAACAAATGTTTTTAAAACCCATGGAGTAAAAACACATGTTGTTAGAAACAAACTACGTTTGGTTCTGTTCCAACTGCTGTTCCGAGCATTCTGTCCTAACAGCATGTTTGGATGGAGTGAAGTGAGAGAATAAAAAAATATATAAATATTTTTGATAAACTATCATGCCCTAAATACATGCGATGATCGACTTAGGAGTAGTACAACTTTATAAGTCGTGTGTTCTGAATTGTGAAAATGGACCAAAAGATGACAAATGTTAGGCACTGACTTAAAATCACAAGGCTCGGCATGTATAGGCAGAAAGTAAAAAGTTAATTTTGAACATTTTTTATCTTTTAATTGTTTTTTAAATATTTTTTATATTAAATTATAAAAATATATTTTTAAAAATTTTCAATCAATTAATTTATTAAATTTATTTAAATATATATTTATCATTTTTAAATTTATAATTATGAGATTACAAATATACATATATTTAAAATTTATAAAGTAAAAATATATATAAATGAATTTAAAAATAAAGTAAATAAAAATAAAAATAATCCCTAAATACTTAATCTTAATAACATAAAATGGGACGGAGGAGTAAAAAAAAAAAAGTTGTTGTGGTATCATTACCCTTTACTTTTGCACCCCATGTTTTCAAGTATATTTGTTATCATCCCCAGCCGTGAATCACCACAAAAGAAATGGGGATACTGCGGTTTCCGGCGGTTGACAAGTTGAGAACGTGCGTAGTTAAGCAGAGACAAGACAACGGTGGTTTTAGCCTTAGCATCAGCTTGAATTATTGGGAAAGTTGGCAGGGAAGGGAAGAAGGAGGAAAAAAATTCTTTCTTCTTATTTTTAGATTATTAATTTTAATAAAAAAAGATAAAATTCTTTTAACTCCTCTATTTTTAAGAAAGATTAAGAGGATTGATTTTATGTATTAAATTTTATTTTAAAAAAATAAATATATAAAAATATTTTATATTAATTATTTTTTTAATTAATAAATTTTATGTTATTTTATTATTTAAATTATTTAATTAAATGAAAATATTTCTTCCTTCTTTTCACTTTCACCTTATTTAAACAAATTTATAATCAATTCTTTCTTTTTCTTTACTGCTCCTTTCCTCCCCTCTCCTCTTCTTTACTAATTTTTAATTATTTCAGGCTTTAAAATATTTGGGCCGGGAAGATGTGCAGGTTGGACACTGGGACCAATCTGAGACTTCTTTTTCTCAGTTCAAAATGGGCCCTAAAACTTTCGAGCTTGACATTATGTGCCCAGACCCGTCCGGCCCGTTGTCCAGCTCTGGTCGGAGCCACACCCTGTCGCAGCAGCAAGGCTTTTCATTTCATGCACAGATAACAGACTTTCCTTTTGAGGTAAAATTCTGCTACTGGGTTTTTGTTTCTTGTAATATTTATGGTTTTGGTTCCTCCATTTCTATGTATCATTGTGTATAACTGGAATTTATTCTTTTTTTTTTTTTCCTGCAAATTTAGTGTTCGTACATTTGCTTTTGCGGGCTAATCAAAGCTCAAGCTAATCATGCTAATCATACTAAACAGGTCGAGTCAAGCTCGAGCCTTTCATTTAGCTTGGAAGACTCTAGCTCAAGCTTGAGTAGCTGCAGAGTATACAAAAATATATTTATATAATATTATTACTTCTTATTCTAATGGAGCTACTTGCAAGTTGCAGGCTTAGAAGTTTGTATGTAGGTGCTTCATCCGCTAATTAAGTTTCAAAATTCCACCTCGAAGAAATAACAAAGAAACTTGTGACTTAAATATAAGATGAGCGACACATTTGCTTTGAAGCTGGATGCTTAACTTGTGTTTCGGTCCATATGTCGTTTTCACACGGCGCTAATGAGTTTTTGGTTTAAAGAGTGAGTTTTTTGTTCCCTTTTTGTAGTTTAAAGTTTGTATGTGTGCTTGAGCTCGGCACAGTTCTAATGAGCTTTTGTTTTTTTGCCATAAATGAACTTGGGGTTTAAAGTATGAAATTTTTGTTAAAGAACCCCTTCTTTGGTTTAAATTTGTTTTTGGCAAGCTTTGGTGAATTGCCTGAAGGAGAACAGGCAGAGGCAAATTCATCTGTGAAATTTATATGATCCATTTTCCCCCCCTCCTTGTAGAGGAAGTTCCATTTAGTTGAATACTCACATGACACTTATGTAGCTCAAACTCATTTTTACCTGCAGAGATATCATGTGTACAGATCTTAATGCTTAGAGTTGACGATTTGGAGGCAGATATTACTTGTGCTGATGCCTTAAGCTGCAGAATATTTTAGACTATCACTGGCATCTTGAGGTGTATAATGGCCGTCTTTTATATTTTCTTATTCTTTCTTCACTATTGTGATATGAAACCTCTCTTTTTCTTCTTTTAGAGGCCTTGTCACCATTTTTGGTGATAAAAGTAAAAAGGGATACCAGCCAAAAGAAATGGTAGAAGCATGAGGTTAGAAATTCTCAGTGAAGAATATATCTTTTTATTTCCTTTTACCTTTCTTAAGAATATAGTACTGTTCATTTGGCTATTTGGTGACTTGAATTTTAACAATAGTCGCAACCAAAGAATCTGAGCCCTTTTTTTTTTTTTTTTTTTTTTTTTTTAATTTCTTTCTTTAATGGAATAAAGGGATTTAAGCCAGCCAATGATGTTATTGAAACAGATACTTTGGCTCTATATCCATCCAAAGAGTTTAACTTTTAGAGACAACGAGTCCGGTTGAGGAAAAAGTTGGAGTGGAGTTGAAGTACTTTTTTGATTTGTAATTGCAATGGAAGCCATTAATTGTAGTCTCTGCTTTGATTAAGCCATTAGTAAACTATTAATGGTCCAAAAATGAATTTATCAAACTTGAAGTGCAACATTTATATCTAAAGGATCATAAGTGCATGATTCAAGTGTTAGCCAATATCAGAAATGACAAGTTTTTATCTTCTTGTTGTTTGTAATTTCTTCTCTTTCATTCTTTTCCTTTGGCTTGGGACTCCCTTTCTATTTTATGAGGTGTTATGCTTTTCCTCCTCTTGTTCCCTTTCCTCTATTAAGGGAAACTGCCACCCTTGTGTGGAGCTTTGTATGGTGTCTGTGGGCGAGGTAGTTTGTAGATAACTTGGGACTAGTAGGGCTTAGGGTCCAAATACCCACATTATCCACACACACACACACAAAAAATAAAAAATAAAAAGAGAGGAAGGTCAAGGCACAAAGTGTTTATAGCCCAGAAGAAATGATAGAGAGGAGCATGAGGTCAGAATTTCCCAAAAAAGAATAAATATCTTTTTGTTTCCTTTACCTTTATCTTGAGAATATATGTATTTTTCACTTTTGTAGTTCTGGTGGCTTGAATTGAAACTTTCATCAAAATCAAAACAAGAATCTGAGGATGACTGGATGAGTACTTTTTGAGTGGGAGCAAAAGTCCAAGGCTAGCCAGTGGCAATGTCGAAACAGATACCGTCTAGTATGGTAGGTGAAAGAGAGAGATCCAAATGTCAGTGATGATGTTAAGTTGAATTCATGTTGGATAAGAAGGCATTTAGAGGTTTGGACCCATCTTGCCATTGCATTCAAGAGAGCCTTTCCTTCCACTTCTTCCCATATGGTTTGAGCTTTGTTTCTACTTTGTGAATATCTTTGCTACCTGAAAGGTGAAAAGTGAAACTGTCTTTTTTAAAATACCTTGGTTGAAACTAGGATCCTGACTTGACCTACTGTATCATTTTTTCCTTTTTATTCCATCTGATATAAACCTAAATCCCATCCCAGATGAAACCATTTAGGGTTATATGGCCGGACACACTTAAGATTAATGAGAAATAGGAAAAGTTTATACATAAAATTAGCAACCCAAACTTAAAAGTTATGAGGGATGTTATTTCAGTGCTGCTTGTTTCATCAGTCATGCCATGTTAACTTTCATATGCAAATATTTCATGTTCATTTTCAACGTAATGGATAAGGAAAGGCTTAAGTACATCTCTTGCTTGATTCTCACTCCTCCATCATCCCTACTCCCTTGCAAAGGAACAGAGAACGATAAATTTTTTCAGCATTCTATTAGTAGTTTGGGAAATATTTGGCCTTTGATTGATAGACTGGATACATTTACCGAATCCCAACCATTTTGAGTTAAAGGCAAAGTTCAATATGGTTGAGCTAGTTATAGAAACTAGAGGAACTTTGAAGTGTTGTGATTTGCATAAGTAGCAAGCACCCATGTAATTGCTTGGTCATGGAAAATTGAAAAAGTACTAGCCTTGGCCAAGACATAAAATGCATGGTTTCATCATGTCAAAAAACACCGAGAGAAGATACTCTCTATTATGCTCGGATTATTTTTTATTTAGATCCATTTCACACATTGCTTATGTGAGTTTCCCACTTTGTGCAGATCCTTTTAATCAGAAAGGTATAAAGTGCAGTTACCTTTTCTTCAAGATCAGCACTGGATTCTGTAAGTATTATTCATTGATTCTAAAGTAACTCTTCTCAATTTTGTTTGTTGTTCTGTGCGGTTGCAATTTATAGAATTTGACCATCCATGAATGAATCTCACACGGTACTACATCCCTTCAAATTATTAGAAATCCTTCACCATTTCCATTTAACTATCAAAATAAAGTACCTTTACCAAAAAATCAAAGTATACTAAATGAGACTGACGGATGTAATGAGAAAGTTCAAAGTGAATGCCATATGATTAAACCATACATTTTAGATGTATCAAAGGTTTAAAGCTCTTATTCTCCTTCTCATTTCTCACCTTCATTAAACTGCCAGGTAAAGACTGAATCACCTGCTAAGAATTAATGGTACTGATAATTTTCAAAATGTTGGAACAACCTTGTAACCACATTCTTTTGAGAATATGTGATCCTCATCAATTTCCAAATCAATCTTCCTTGCAAACCTGCCCTTTACACGAGGTCGAGTCTCTGCATAGGCCTTCCTGGATGCATATCTTATTTTCTTCTCAAACTTCCTTTCTTTCCTTTTCTCTCTGTATCGCAGGACCTTTTCTTCCCTGTTCATTGGCATAAATTGGAGTGGCATAAGGAGTGAAGGATTTGGAAAGAAATCAGTTGCCTCATTTTGAAATATAAAGTATGAACTTGGGATGCTGTTTCTTGGTGTGTTTGGTAACATGCCAGCAGCAACAAAGGACATGGGAACCTGTTTCCGAACAAATTAGAGAAGAAACTGAAGAAATATCTTACCAATAATAATAGAAGAGTAATTTTTTCAGAGACGTAAGAAATCTTACATGCATGGTCAAAAATAGGCATGTAAAAACATGCAAAATTAAGATTGAAATGGACCATAGCAAAGGTAGGAGATGTCTACAGTTAAATTGATTAATAGCTGACCAATAGTGGGAGAAAAAGAGCTAAAATATTGTAATTTTGTCAAGTTGCTACTAGGTTTGATTTCCCACCACTAAAAACTGTCAATAGAAGTCATCATAATCTTGGATTTCTTGTGTCTTCTTGCTTGGAGAACTTCAGCAAAAGCTTAATTCTCATACTTACATATATAGGCTGCTGACTTGCTGCACTTGATAAAGAGCCGCAGGAATGTCTCTTGAACACCGTTGAGAAAGCAGATGAACTCCATTAAGTGTTTTTATCCAACAACAACAGCCATCACAACAACAATTAAAACAATAAATGAACTCTGGATAAATCTCATCATAGCACACCCAATGATAGGCTAAATACTCAAAGCAATAAGAAAAACTGATAAAAGTTATTTATAGTAAGATGAACATAAAAAGGATTCACAATAGGAAATAAGTTGCTGGCAAAGTAAATTAGTGTTATAAGGTGCTTAGGATCTTACATCCTGACTACTTGTTGGTGTATTAATGAAAGCAGTTCTTGAGGCCTCTTGTTCTTTGTTGAAGTTTATATTCTGTTGTTGTTGCAGAAGGGGTTGCTGCTGATGCTGTTGTTGTGGCTGTACCTGCTTCTTCATGTCGAAAGATTTTTCTGGAACAACACCATCACTTCCATTTTCATCTAGACAAGTACTGGAAGATTGCAGCTGGCTGTACGTTTCCTGGTGCTGATACCCAGTACATGAATCTCTGAGATCTATGTACTCATCAACTGGCTCGCTAAAGGAAAATCCACTGTGAGCCTGGTTTTCATCGTTGTCAGGCTCAAGCAACAACCAAGAACATGCTTCATCTTCATCTATTTCCTCACTAGTTGTTGTATTGGCCATGATTTCATTGTGTGGGTCCAACACAGTACCTGGTAGGTCATCATCCGTATAAGAACACGAGGATGCATAGGCTAGACCAGAAAATGGAGGCATGGGGATGCGAGAGTGGCGGCGGGCAAGTGCATTCACAGAGTGTATCTCAGCATCACAAGTGAAACAAAGGGATGCTGCATCAGCCTTGCAGGTTACAGCTACTGGGGCATTCTCACAGGCAGTGCAAACCCATACACGCTGGTGTGTCAATGCTGAGGAATTGGCAGCATGGATCCGCTGATCACAGTCGTTACAGAAGTAAGCAGAATCAGTATGACAGTAAAGTGTGCAGGCAGCTGCCTTGCAAGTATCACAAGCACGAGCCCAGTTGCTCAGATAGACATCTCCACCAGAACTGACCAACATGCTTGAATCAAGTTGGGTTCAACATGCTAGTAAATTGGGTGATTCTGTACTCAACATTGGTGCTGCAGGAAATTGTAATGAAATTTCTAGGGAGTGAAGAATTGTACTTTACGTTTAGTATTCTAGATGCACATAGGACATATATAAAGGGGTTCAGATCATTATTTTTTAAATGAATTGTAGAGTTGAAATGGTGTTAAATCAGTGTGGCTTTTAGCCAAAAAAAATTCTAGCATAATATCCAATCCTGCTTTTCTTGCTCCCATTCAATTATTAGTTCTGTAATTACAAATAAAAGATCTTGCAGGTTAAAAGGGCATTTGAAGGAGAACTTGTTTTTTTCTCTACATCTCTCCATCCATAGCCACAAAAGCTCCAATACTTGCCACATGAAAGTCATTTCCATTGCGGGAGGGTATGGGCATGAAGTGGGCAAGAGTGGAGTGTGTTAGTGAAAGAAAGCAGGGAGGTGGGGAATCCAAAAAGTGAATAAGTGTTAGGGCTACTAGCCTGCTAGTGGTTGAAAGAGAGTGCCTATCAATCTTGAGTTCAGATATATATTCTTGGCGGGGTTGGAGAGAGGCTTCCACCAAGCCAAATTATCGTTCATGGACATGGAATCCTCCCGAAAATAAGATACATGATAAGGAATAGTGACTTTTGGAACATACCAAAGGTATTTCTTGAGAGAGAAGATGTGTTGCGTGTGTGCGTTTTCTTCTTCTTTTTTTTTTTTCTTTTTTCATGTACGGCTAATAACACAAGTGAAAAGTTATGTTACTAGGATTCCATAGTTTTATCCATAGAGCGACAATCCGATATTTATATTGAATCAAATTGGTAATTACTAATTATTATATATATATATATATATTTTGGGGTCAAATACACCTAGCCAAAATAACCCTGAAAAGGAGATGAAGAGAAAGTTGCTTGAAGATGGCTGGAAAGCCCTAAGACCAATGATTAAGAGACCAAGTGGCTGTGGACCAGGCACAAATAAAGGGAAGGTTCATAACTTCCCTTTCTTTATATTTTTTTGAAAACATCCATTATTTTTTTTTTTTTTTTTTGATCTTTGGAATTTGGATCCTCATCCTTCTCACCAGCCTTTGAACCCCAGACCCCAAGGCTAAGAAACCAGATTCTTAGCCAACAGGACCCTGGGGAGGCTGGCTCATAACTTCCCTCACAACCCTCAAAAGTTTAATCTCTAGTTGTTTGTAGTATCAATTATTTATAGATCAAATACACTCACAGTTCCTTCTCAATGTAAGATTTAAGGTGCCACACTAACTTTAGAATTATTGAACAACCAGAGTACGTCATCATAATAGCATCAATGGAGTACTGTTTTTCAGTCCAAACTGAAAAGGAATGAAGTGCCCCATATTCATTCTTTCAAAACCCTACCGAGTTCTTGTGCAAAAATGAAATAAGCAGAGCGACTAGACAAGCATGCTTAATTAAACACAACCATAAATGGGTTGCACAAATTGTAGTGATTTTACTCTAATCTTTGGCTGAAGAGGGAGATTTCAACTTCATTGAATAGCATTTCACAAAGTAAATAGTAATTTAAAAGAAACAAATCAATGGATAACCACTAACTACTCCAAAAGGTGCAACATATGTAACATAAAAGAGCTGCTATAACTTTACCATCTGCTTTCACTGCTCAGGTATAAAAAGCACGCCTAGTGATTGGCTTGTATGTAAGATAATTTAAAGTTGCTGAAATGTTAAACATGCATGGTCAACTTGCGCGTCTCTGATGTAACCGTTGCTGCTTTCTGACCATTTATCATCTCACTGTGAGATTGAGATCAACTTGTCTACATGAATTAGAATATCATCTATGCAAGGACGAATGGCCGCCTGTGACTGAAGCATCCATGTCACAAACTGGTGAAGAGCATCTGGATATGGAGGTTTGGGTCCAGCTGGCCACTTAATCTGTGCATTTACAATTGCCAATTGTAAGCTTCCTCCTGATTCTCCAAGTGCATACTCGAAGGGAGATGTTCCATACCTGCAACAATTGAATGGTAAATTAATGGGGAAACTAAATAATACTGTGCAGCTAAATGCATATGATACGAGAAGAAGGCTTATTGGTCCCATTGTGAACTAAATCATTTGAAGTTGTTTCCGCATATAATTGTTCTTCATAAAACGTTCTCTACAAAGTGACAACTATAAAAATGAACAAAATAATATGGCGCATGGCTGCATGCAATAAAACGAACTCACTTCAAAGCTTCAAAATGGAAAATGAAAATACAAAAAAAAAAGGAAAACTATAGACTCAATCCTAATACCATCCTGACCTCAGGCTCAGCTTAATTCACCTCTCCTCCTTAGGGTTGGTCAAGCTCACCAGATGGCCCGGGTATGAAATTCACCAGGTCCAGCTAGATCCAAGGGGACAGTCTCCTTAACTAACAGCCCAAGAAAAATGAAAACAATCCAAGAAGCATCTGTCCATAAATTAGTATAACTTCTTTTTCCTTTTTCCTTTCCCTCTTTCCTTCTTCTTCTTCCTTTTTTTTTTTTTTTTAAAAGTTTACCTCCAACTATTCTAATTCCCTTGCTTGTGCTGGCTCAAACTATTCATTTTATTGCCAACTGTCATGTAACCAGAAATGCATTAAGCTCCAAGAAATGAATTGCCTGTAACAATTACATAACCATTTTTTTCTTTTACAGAGTGTGCCCGAAGATCTCAATGAAGAACCTCCAACATGCAGAAGTAGAAGAATATTTACCTATCTTCTAATCCATTTGCAAAGGATTCCAATTAGATTCTCAAGTTTATGCATAAATGCAGAAAAAGAGGACACAATAACATGGAATGATTAGCAGAAAGAAAAATTGCTTAGTTTTGAGAAGTATTTGGGTACGTACTAAACAGAATTGTGTAAGGTAAAGAGGTCTTTAAGACACATCGCTCAATTTCACATTAGAGAATGTTGGGCTTCAAAATACAATTTAATGAATGCTAGTTCTCTAGAGCTGATACTCTTCTAGGTGCAAAATTTTAAATCTGCCATTTTTGTGGGGTGCATCTCTGTCTATTTGACACATGATAATTATTCTTTTGGGTGTTGCCAAAATCTCAATTAATTAGGGAAAATGCAGCACAGATGCATTCATTTGTCAGAGACTCAGAAACCAACAAGATTGGCAAATGTTTCATAAAAATAAAGTAGCAACTCAGAAATATCATTCAATACTGAGTTAGCATGTTAGATTTCAGAATTTCCACTCAGAAACTTACAATCAAATCCTCAAATGAAGTGACATGGTAAGCAATATCTGGCCACACAAAATGGACAGTAGCTAACTACACACTTTTTACTCAGACAGTATAAAATGTATATAGGACCAAACAGTAATGGAGATGGTTAGGAAACAAGCTATAAATATGACAAAGACACAATTCAAAAGTTTAGAAAATATGTATAAAAAATGTTTGCAAGAAAAAGGCTATCACTGAGAAAAGGGAAAAGATTAGTTCTTACATAATTGCATATAAAGTGCATCCAAGTGACCAAATGTCAGTTCTCTCATCAATATCTGCATGGCTTGGGCAATCCCACAACTCAGGAGCTCGGAAAGGTGCTGAACAGTGCTCTGATGCCCATTCCTAAAGCACTAGAGGCCTAAATCAACCATGAAATTGTGCAAAGAATGCAATAACAATGAATGGATATACATGTGGAAATGTGGTCAGTTTTATGTTCTCTAAATTTAATTGAAGCATCAAAGGCAATAATATTGTTAGCAGTCACATGAAATCACCCAATTAATTTATGCCATATTGAAGATCAAGGAAAATTAACTTGAATACTAAATTTTGACAATAAAAGAGAACAATCAAATGAAAAAATAAGGGAGGGATGTAAAGCATCAAATGTTCAAGAAGATAAAAAATAAAAATAAAAAATGACAGGACATGAAGATGCAGCAGCAAGCACCTGTAGCTGTAATGCCTCTGAACGAGAGCGAATTTGCCTCCTTGCAGGTCTTGCACTCCCAAAATCCATCAATATTGCCAGTGGTGGTTGCCCTTTTCTATGGGTTAAAAGAACATTGCCAGGTTTGACATCATTATGTGCATATGGAGGCTCAAGACTGTGCATATGTTTGAGCCCTGCACACAGCTGTGCCAATACTTTTCCAATCAACATATTTGTTGCATGTGCTAAATCAGTTATGCAACAATAAATTCAAAATGACAACAGATAAAATTACAAGATAAAACTACTTCATACTAATTTTAAAACATATAACAAGCAACTTGGGGTATTAGGCAATATGTCGGCTGCAATGAATATCTGTCCATCTAGTATCAATATCAATGTAATCACAAAGGAAATGCTCTTTTAAGCACAGAGAAGTGCACAACAAAAGGTACAATATCAGATATATAGACCAAAATAGCAATAGGCCAATAGGGTAATTTACCTGCCGAAATATTTTAAGAACATCTAATGTGGAAAAGAACTCCTTTTTAGCTTTCATGGCTGTAGAATTGTCCAGCAATGTTCCATCCAAGTGAACTGGGAACAACAAGTATGCTTCATGTTTCCATGCTCTTTCTTGTGTAGGCTAACCAAAGAAATTAGATTATTGATCAACAAAATCGCACGAGCTGATAATTTCAGGAATCTTCAAAGAAAATTAATCACAAAATTTAAAGCAGACATTTCAAGAAGCCATGTGATACAATTTCGATAGTAGAAATAAATAGGAATTTAGCTTCATTGACTACCTTAACAGCTATAATAGCATGATCAAGAAGTGGAAGCAGATTAGGGTGACTAAACAGTGATGAAACACGGATCTCCTCCCGAACCAATTCCAGCTGCTCATTGTTCTGAATCAGAACTTTCTTCATTGCATAAGTACCATCCTCTGCATTGCAAACATACTCAAATCAGTAATTCAGCCCGAAAACGAGTTAGATCAGGCAGATACAAGGCATCAGAAACCAATTCGAATTCGTACAAATCCAGATCACGGAATGATTTAAACAAATCAAGCAAAAAAACCACCTGAAATCGAAATGCAAATTGAAGAAACGAACCAGAGAGATGAGAAGGATCCTTGACTTTGTTGGCAAGGCCACCGGCGGAAGCCAAATCGGCAAGCACCTCCTTGACAAGGTAAACAAAGGCGAAACCACCCTCGCCGAGCTGCCTGACGATCCTGAACCTGGTCTCGTTGATCCAGACATCCCCTCCGCCGTTGACGGCGTCGTAGAGCGCATTCAATCCCGAGAACGTACACCCCATCTTTGGTCCACTGTATCAGTAGATCCTCAATCGCTCATTTCTCACCGTAGATCTCGATTCCTTATTATTGGAAATATAAATTAATATCGAGCTTTCACGTCATGTTGATGAGAAATTTAGGCTGCAATTTTTTAGTTTTTTTTATTTTTTATTTTTATTGGGTTGGATTGCTGTCTCCTGTCCTGTTGCTCGTTTGCGTTTATTTATTGTTAATTATGATTAATTAAAAATGGCTTTTAATTGTTTCGGACATCTTTTTCTCATGCATTCTGCTCACATAGATTTATTTGCATGTCTGTTTGGCTTTGCCTTTGAAAAGGGGAAGTACTTTTTTTTGTTTTTTTAGTCGGATCAGACACAATTATTTTTTATAGAAATGTTTTGGTTAGTTCGAATTGAATGAGACTGCAAAAAATATAATAATAAAGAGGATAAAAATTTAATATGAAAATGTAAGGTTAATAATGTAATTTAGATTATATTATTAAATTAATTAATATATATTAGATTGACTTTTAATTCTTTTATTGCTTTTTTTTGTTTTTTTAATCGGATCAGACACAATTATTTTTTATAGAAATGTTTTGGTTAGTTCGAATTGAATGAGACTGTAAAAAATATAATAATAAAGAATATAAAAATTTAGTATGAAAATGTAAGG